TTAATAAGTTTGCAAGCCAATGCAGTATCTGTCTTCTAGTCAACCAATGCAATTCCATAATTAAAGTTATGTTGCAGACATTTTGCATTTGTGGAGGACAGCATTCTTTGCAATGGGAGAGGGCTACACACATGCTTATTGCCCCTTCTACATTGACCATTTCATGCAGTTACTAATTACATTACATGGCACTGTAGATGGGGCCTACATCTCTTGAAGTATGCTCAATTGTCTGAGCTGTTGCAACATTTTTTCAAGATGGACCTGATTTGAAATCACTATATCTCGCAACCACGAACCACTTGTGAATGAAATCTTTACCACTTGAAAGGGCAGTGAATGGAGTTTCAAACGATTACTGCTAGATGCCCCACCCAGTGCACAAACAGCCCCTAACCTCAGTCATTCACAAGATGCTGACTCCACAACATAATAGTATAGAATCGTAGAGTTGTAAGAGACCTTGTAGGCCATCCAGTCCAACCCACTGCCAAGTAGCAGGAAAACCACATTCAAAGCACTCCTGACAGATGGCAATCCAGTCTCTGCTTAAAAGCCCTCAAAGAAGGAGCCTCCACCATACTCTGCAGCAGAGAGTTCCACTTTTGAACAGCTCTCACAGTCAGGGAGTTCTTCCTCATGTTGAGGTGGAATCTCCTTTCCTGTAATTTGAAGCCATTGCATCCTAGTCTCCACGGCAGCAGAAAACAAGCTTGCCCACTCCTCCCTATGACTTCACCTCACATATTTATACATGGCCCTCATCATGTCTCCTCTCCGCCTTATCTTCTTCAGGCTAGACATGCCCAGCTCTTTTAGCCGTTCCTCATAGGGCTTGTTCTCCAGACCCTTGATCATTTTAGTCGCCCACCTTTGGACACATTCCAGCTTGTCAACCTCTCCCTTCAATTGTGGTGCCCAGAATTGGACACAATATTCCAGGAGTGGTCTGACCAAGGCAGAATACAGGGGTAGCATTACTTCCCTGGATCTAGACACTATGCTCCTATTTAAGCAGGCCAAAATCCCATTGGCTTTTTAATCCGCTGCATCACGTTGTTGGTTCATGTTTAACTTTTTGTCCACAAGATCTTTTTCACACTTACTGCTGTTGAGCCAGGCTTCTCCCATTCTGTATCTTTGCATTTCATTTTTTCTGCCTAAGTGGAGTATCTTGCATTTGTCACTGTTGAACTTCATTTTGTTAGTTTTGGCCCATCTCTGTAATCTGTCAAGATCATTTTCAATTCTGCTCCTGTCCTCTGGAGTATTGGCTATCCCTCCCAATTTGGTGTCGTCTGCAAACTTGATGATCCTGCCTTCTAGCCCTTCATCTAAGTCATTAACAAAGATGTTGAACAGGACCGGGCCCAGGACGGAACCCTGCGGCACTCCGCTTGTCACTTCTTTCCAGGATGAAGAGGAAGCATTGGTGAGCACCCTCTGCGTTCATCCATTCAACCAATTACAGATCCACCTAACCATAGTTTTGCCTAGCCCACATTGGACTAGTTTGTATGCCAGAAGGTCATGGGGAAACTTGTTGAAGGCCTCACTGAAATCCATGCATCTACTCAACTTGTAACTCTAGCACTGTCCTCTCAAAGTTGTCCGTACTACAGGAGGAGGGCACGTAGAATATTTATCAAATGATTAGTACTTGATAACTCATTAAATCATTTTTAACTTTTTATGTTATTGTAACATGTTGCCAACAGACAAGAGTTCTTTCTTCCATCCCAGACACTCCACAGATATACAGGGTTAGTCAAAATGAATAGGCCAATAAGAAAATTAATTTTAGACGAATGTATGTTTATTGTAACCAAACTACAGCTACGTAGCGACAGATAAACTATCAAAGTTTTGTCTCACCTTCAGAGATGTTCGATATGGGCGCCCCGTGTGACACGGCAGATGTCCAAGCGATAGTCCAGTTCATTCCACATCCGTTGCAGCACATCCGACGTAATGGCATCGAATGCAGCAACGTCTGGGAAGGTGTTCGTTGAGGTCCTAACCCTAACCCTAACCCTATCACCCTAACCCTAACCCTAACCCTAACCCTAACCCTAACCCTAACCCTAACCCTAACCCTTGAAATTCTCGCTGGACCGTAATTACTGACATTGTTTTAGCAATGTCATCACACAAAACGCCTTCTCTTTGCTTGATTCCGCCATTTTGAAAACAGCGACCCCTAGCGACGCCTAGCGGCATTAACGTACATGTGTGTTGCTCAAAAAAAACTTTGATAGTTTATCTGTCGCTACGTAGCTGTGGTTTGGTTACAGTAAACATACATTCGTCTAAAATTAATTTTCTTATTGGCCTATTCATTTTGACTAACCCTGTATAAACTTCCCTTCTTTGTGTCCAGGGGGGAGTCTCTCATTTGGTATCAGCAGTGGCTTGAGGTCCCAGAGTTTTGGCCTGCCACTTTTGGACTCTCGCTTGCTGAGGTGTTCCTGTGAGTATCTCCATATGTCTTAGAAAACTATTTCCTGATTCCACAGATATATAAACCCCACTTGCTTAGTTTCCAACAGACCTCACAACCTCTGAGGATGCCTGCCATAGATGCAGGCGAAACATCAGGAGAGAATGCTTCTGGAACATGGCCATACAGCGAGGAAGGCTCACAGCAACCCAGTGCTTCTGGCCATTTTTTTTATTTGTCGTGTCAGGACAGCCAGTCAAATTATATTACATTTCTAACAGAACAAAGCAGACAAAATACAAAATTTGTGAGTTTGGTAGTTGATTAAATGTCCTTTGACCAGTATCTGGCCACTTGGGGTGCTTCTGGTGTTGCTGCAAGAAGGTCTTCCATTGTGCATGTGGCAGGGCTCAGGTTGCATTGCAGCAGGTGGTCTGTGGTTTGCTCCTCTCCACACTCGCATGTTGTGGATTCCACTTTGTAGCCCCATTTTTGAAGGTTGGCTCTGCATGTCGTGGTGCCAGAGCGCAGTCTGTTCAGCGCCTTCCAAGTCGCCCAGTCCTCTGTGTGCCCAAGGGGGAGTCTCTCATTGGTACCAGCCATTGGTTGAGGTTCTGGGTTTGAGCCTGCCACTTTTGGACTCTCGCTTGCTGAAAGCTTTGGACAATATGATCATGGGTCTGGAGAACAAGCCCTATGAGGAGCGGCTTAAAGAGCTGTACATGTTTAGCCTGAAGAAGAGAAGGCTGAGAGGAGACACGATAGCCATGTATAAATATGTGAGAGGAAGTCATAGGGAGGAGGGAGCAAGCTTGTTTTCTGCTTCCCTGGAGACTAGGATGCGGAACAATGGCTTCAAACTACAAGAAAGGAAATTCAATCTGAACATGAGGAAGAACTTCCTGAGTGTGAGAGCCGTTCAGCAGTGGAACTCTCTGCCCCGGAGTGTGGTGGAGGCTCCTTCATTGGAGGCTTTTAAACAGAGGCTGGATGGCCATCTGTCCGGGATGCTTTGAATGCAATTTTCCTGCTTCTTGGCAGGGGGTTGGACTGGATGGCCCATGAGGTCTCTTCCAACTCTATGATTCTATATTTATTTATTTATTATTATTTATTTAAAAGTTTTATATACCGACCTTCTCACCTCTCTTGCGAGACTCATACTGGTTTCCAACCATAATGTCACAAACAGTTAATAAAATATAATAATTCATTTTACAATAAAACATTAAAATAGCAATTACATTCAATAACTACAATGGTCAGTCGTCACTCGTTGTTCGCCATCCTCCATCCATATCTGGCTCACTCAACAAATGCCTGTCTCCATAGCCACGTCTTCAGCTGTTTCCTGAATGTCAGGATAGAAGGGGCGGTTCTGATCTCCAGTGGGAGTTCCAGAGTCGAGGGTCCACCACCGAGAAGGCCCTGTCCCTCGTCCCCACCAGACGTGCTTGCAAGGCTGGTGGGACCGAGAGCAGGGCCTCTCTAGATGATCTTAATAATCTTGATGGTTCATAGGGGAGAATACCTTTGGAGAGGTAAACAGGGCCATATATCCACCTTCTTTGGAAGCTTTTAAGCAGAGGCTGGATGCCCATCTGCAGAGGCGGCCCTAGGTAATTTTCAATGGTAAGCAAACAGTATTTTGGCGCCCTCCCCCCAACCAATTATTGATATATATTTTCTGTTCGTCGTGGGAGTACTGAGTGCCATATTTGATTCAATTCCATCATTGGTGGAGTTCAGAATGCTCTTTGATTGTAGGTGAACTATACATCCCAGTAACTACAACTCGCATATGTCAAGGTCTATTTTCTCCCAAGAGTGCCTCAAGAGTGCCCCTAGGCACAATCAACTATACTGCAAATGCTTACTTTGCGTAATAGGTTGCTGAGGCTTCCCCCGGACTGCTAGGGCTGTTGTGAGCCGAGGGGGCGCTCCTCAAGTCATGGTCGAGGGGCATTTACAGAGGCGCCTCTGCACCCCTGGCAAAACAAAAGTGTACTGCGACTGCTTACTTTGCGTAATGGATGAGCCGCCCCTGCCCATCTGTCAGAGGCTCTTTGAATGCAGTTTTCCTGTTTCTTGGCAGAATGGGGTTGGACTGGATGGCCCATGAGGTCTCTTCCAATTCTATGATTCTATGACCTGGAGGGCCCAAGTCTGGAGTAGAGATTTAGCATCCTTCCTTCCTTCCTTCCTTCCTTCCTTCCTTCCTTCCTTCCTTCCTTCCTTCCTTCCTTCCTTCCTCTCCATCTCCCCGATCTTTCCCTCCCCTTGAGACGTGTCCCTCCTCCTCTTCCTCTTCCTCCTCCTCCTGGCCACCCCAAGGCCTGCAGAAGGGGCGTGGAGGCGGGAGGGCGGGCGCCAGGTGGGGGGGGGGGGGGGCGCGGTTAAAGCCTTCTCCTGCTCCGAGGAGGAGCGCGCAAATCCTCGCTTGGCCTCTCCGACGGCGCCTCCCGAAACCCGGCTCTTGGAGGACAGCGGCGGGGTGGGGTCTGCTTTTCAGAAGGAGAGCCGAGAAGAGGGGGGTACCCTGGCCCCAGGGAGACCTCAGCCCCTCCTCCTCTTCCTCGATGGTGCGCTCGACCCGGCGAGGCGCTCCGGGGCTCTGATCTCCCTCCGACGCGGACAGGTGAGCTTCCTGCGCCCTCGCTGCCTCTTTCCGCTCTTGATCTAGGAGCCCCAGAGGGAAGTGGGGAGAAATCCGGAGTGGGTTCGGATAGAGTCCCCTTCCCGGCGGGAATCCACTCCTGATTCCTCCCCACTCCCCCCTGGGAACCCCTTGAACCAAGAGCGCCTTTCCTTGGCCTTGAATTATACTCTTTTTCGTCCCTGATGGCATCTTGTCAGACTCGAGGTATGGCATTTTGGGGTTGGGGAAAATGCTTGGAGGAAACTAGCTTGGGAACTCTGCCCTCCCGATCCAAAATCAAAGGAGAGCAGGGTTGTTGTGCGTTTTCCGGGGTGTCTGGCCATGCCCCAGAAGCATTCTCTCCTGACGTTTCGCCCGCATCTATGGCAGGCATCCTCAGAGGTCGTGAGGTCTATTGGAAACGAGGCAAGAGAGGTTTACATATCTGTGGAATAATTCCCAGGTTGGGAGAAAGAACTCTTATCTGTTTAAGCAAAGTGTGGATGTTGCAGTGGATCACCATGCTTAGCATTGAATAGCCTTACAGGCAGGAAGCAGCTAAGCCTTGAAGCTGCAAAGCTATTCAATGCTAATCAAGGTGGCTTGCTGCGAGTTTTCGAGGCTGTATGGCCATGTTCCAGAAACATTCTCTCCGGATGTTTCACCACATCTATGTCAGGCATCCTCAGATGTTGTGAGGTCTGCTGGAAACTAGAAAAATGGGGTTTATATATTTGTGTAATGTCCAGGGTCGGAGAAAGAACTCTTATCTGTGTAGATGTTCCAGTGGATAACTTTGCTTAGCATTGAATAGCCTTGCAGGCAGGAAGCAGGCAAGCCTTGAAGCTGCGAGGCTGTTCAATGCTTTTTTTCATGTCAGGAGTGACTTGAGAAACTGCAAGTCACTTCTGGTGTGAGAGAATTGGCCGTCTGCAAGGACGTTGCCCAGGAGACGCCTGGATGTTTTGGATGTTTTTCCATCCTTGTAGGAGACTTCCCTCATGTCCCCACATGTGGAGCTGGAGCTGACTGAGAGAGCTCATCTGCGCTCTCCCCCAGATTTGAACCTGTGACCCAGTGGTTCTCAACCTGTTTTGGCCTTTAACTCCCAGAAATCCTAAAAGCTGGTAAACTGTCTGGGATGTCTAGGAGTTGAAGGCCAAAACACCTGGGGACCCACAGGTTGAGAACCACTGCTGACCTGTCCGTCTTCAGTCCTGCCGGCACAAGGGTTTAACCCACTGTTGTGCCATCAGGGGTTCCTTATTCAATGCTAATCAAGGTGGGTTGCTGTGAGTTTTCCAGGCTGTATGGCCATGTTCCAGAAGCATTCTCTCCTGGTATTTCACCCACATCTATGGCAGACATCCTCAAAGATTGTGAGGTCTGTTGGAAACTAGGCAAGTGAGGTTTATATATCTGTGGAATGATGTCCAGGGTGGAAGACAGAACTCTTGTGTATTTGCGGCAAATATGGATGTTCCAATTGGCCACCTTGATTAGTGTGTTGTCAAAGGCTTTCGTGGCCAGAATCAATGGGTTGCTGTGAGTTTTCCGGGCTGTATGGCCATGTTCCAGAAGCATTCTCTCCTAACGTTTCCCCTACATCTATGGCAGGCACCCAACAGACCCCTCAACCTCTGAGGATGCCTGCCATAGATGTGGGTAAAACATCAGGAGAGAATGCTTCTGGAACATGGCCATACAGCCCAGAAAACTTGCCACAACCTAGTGATTCCAGCCATGAAAGCCTTCGAAACACAAAGGAGGCATCCTCAGAGGTTGTGAAGACTGTTGGAAGTGGGGTCAAGGAACATGAAAGGCACTGCAGACCAATTCAACCAGAGAAGTCAGCCATAGCAGAGCACCTGATGAACCAACTTGGACACAGCATATTATTTGAGGACACAGAAATGCTGGACCGTTGAAACTACCATGTCAGACTACACAGAGAAGCCATTGAAATTCACAAAAAGCATGTGGACAATTTCAACGGAAAGTAGGAAACCATGAAAATGAATAAAATCTGGCTACCATTATTTAAAAAACTCTAAAATCAGGACAGTAAATAGAAAGGAACACTAAGAAAAACATGTGAATTCCGTACAGGAAACAATCAGGGGCAGCTAACACTTCCCAACAAAGGATTCCCTCAGGCAGGGAAGCAGCCAGGCTTTGAAGCTGCAAGGCCAACAAGGTAGCCAACATTAACACTTGCTTCCAGCAGACAAGAGTTATTTCTCCCACCCTGGACATCCCATATATAAACCTCACTTGCCTAGTTTCCAACAGACCTCACAACCTCTGAGGATTCCTGCCATACGTGTGGGTGAAACGTCAGGAGAGAATGCTTCTGGGACATGTTCATACAGCCTGGAAAATGCACAGCAACCCAGTGATTTTGGCCATGAAAGCTTTCAACAACACATGTACAGAATAGTTTTAAATTTGGCAGCAGAAATATATTTGCAGGGCTAAGATTTGTTGAGTGCTGCTAGTCTCCAACTGAGCCGCGTTTTAACAAATCTAAATTTAATATAATATATATTATTTTATGTATTAATTGGATACCTCTGGGTGTTATGTATTCATTGGATACCCCTGGTGGCGCAGTGGGTTAAACCTTTGTGCCGGCAGGACTGCTGACCGACAAGTTAGAAGTTTGAAGCCAGGGACAGCAGGTTGAGCTTCCTCTGTCAGCTCCAGCTCCCCATGCAGGGACATAAGAGAAGCCTCCCACAAGGATAGCAAATATCCGGGCATCCCCTTGGCAACGTCCCTGCAGACGGCCAATTCTCTCACACCAGAAGCGACTTGCACTTTCTCAAGTCACTCCTGACATGAAAAAATGGATTTCTCCCAGAATGGAATTCCTTAAGTGAAGGAAGAGATGGGCTGTGTGCAGATCGAGAGTTTGCAGATCAAGATTCATTCAGTATTGGCTTATCAATTATTCTTAGTCATCAGACCTAGGCTCCTTCCACACAGCTGAATAAAATCCCACATTATTTGCTTTGAACTGGGATATATGGTAGTGTGGACTCAGGTAACCCAGTTCAAAGCAGATATTGTGGGTTGTTTTACCTGTATATTCTGGGTTTTATGGCTGTATGGAAGGGCCCCTAGTTAGAATGTCCCATGATTGGATGGCCAGAGTCACACAAGTAACTACTACTAGAAGAAACCACTCAAGAGCTTAGGAAAGTTACTGTTTAAACCTTGTTGTTGTGTGCCTTCAAGTACTCTTTGACCTGTGGTGACCCATCGCAGGGTTTTTCTTCGCAAGATTTGTTTAAACTACAACTTCCTCAAAGCAGTCAATCATCACAGTCAATGGCTATGTTAGCTGAGGAATTATGGGAAGTGTCATCCAAAAAGGTACCTGTATATACTCGAGTATAAGCTGACCCAAATATAAGCCAAGGCACCTAATTGTACCACAAAAACCTGGGAAAATGTATTGACCAAGGGTGAGAAATGCAGCAGCTACTGGTAAATTTAAAAAATAAAAATAGATACCAATAAAATTACATTAATTGAGGCATCAGTAGGATAAATGTTTTTGAATATTTACAGAAAACTGTAAGATAAGACTGCCCAACTCTGTCTAAAGCATTGTTCTAACCTTCATCAATATATGTATCCTTCCAATAGTAATAAAGAGAGCAAAATAATAAACATAATAAAAATAGTAATAATAGAGTAAAATAATACAGCAGTAATAATAGAGTAAAATAATACTCCAATTCTGGGCACCACAATTCAAGAGAGATATTGACAAGCTGGAATGTGTCCAGAGGAGAGCGACTAAAATAATAAAAAGTCTGGAGAACAAGCCCTATGAGGAGCAGCTTAAGGAGCTGGGCATGTTTAGCTTGAAGAAGAGAAGGCTGAGAGGGGATATGATAGCCATGTATAAATATGTGAGAGGAAGCCACAGGGAGGAGGGAGCAAGCTTGTTTACTGCTTCCCTGGAGACTAGGACGCGGAGCAATGGCTTCAAACTACAAGAGAGGAGATTCCATCTAAACATGAGGAAGAACTTCCTGACTGTGAGAGCCGTTCAGCAGTGGAACTCTCTGCCCCGGAGTGTGGTGGAGGCTCCTTCTTTGGAAGCTTTTAAACAGAGGCTGGATGGCCATCTGTCAGGGGTGATTTGAATGCAATATACCTGCTTCTTGGCAGGGGGTTGGACTGGATGGCCCATGAGGTCTCTTCCAACTCTTTGATTCTATGATTCTATGATAATGGAAATGTAATAACAGTAATAATAGAGTAAAATAATAAATATAATGGGTTGTTGTAAGTTTTTCAGGCTGTATGGCCATGTTCCAGAAGCATTCTCTCCTGACGTTTCACCTGCATCTATAGCAGGTATCCTCAGAGGTTACAACAACCCAGTGATTCCGGCCATGAAAGCCTTCGACAATACAATAAATATAATAATAATAGAGTAAAATACTAAATGTATTAAAATAGTAATAGAGTAAAATAATATAAATGTAGTAATAACAATAATAATAGAGTAAAATACTGAATGTAATAAAATAGAGTAAAATACTATAATAATAATAATAATATAATAATAATAATAATAATAATCGTAACAATAATAATAGAGTAAAATAATAAATGTAATAATAATAATAGAGTAACATACTAAATGTAATAAAAATAGATATGTATACTAAATGTAATAAAATAATATAATAATAATAGAGTAAAATAATAGATGTAATAATAACAATAATAATTGTAAAATAATGGAAATGTAGTAATAATAATAGAGTAAAATAATAAATGTAATAATAATAGAGTAAAATAGTAAATGTAATAACAATAAAGAGAGAAAAATAATAAATGTAATAATAACAATAATAATAGAATAAAATAATGGAAATGTAATAATAGAGTTTAATAATAAATATAATAACAATAATAGAAAAAATAATAAAAGTAATCATAATACATACAGTAAAATAAAAATGTAATACAAATAA